TGGAGGGCTTCCTGCAAGGCCTGAGGTGGGGAAATGGTAAGGCAAGGCTATTCTAGCTTGGGTCATAGGTAGTCCTTAGGAAACAGCAAAGAAGAAAGAAAATCAGAAACTTCAAGTTTCCCTTCCTTCCTTTTTTCCTTTCTTTTTGCCATAGTATTTTCTGGAGGACTGAGAGCAGTGGCCCAAGCTTGAAGTTTCAGTGCTTTGGAAACTGAGGCAGGCGACCCTGAGTTCCAGATCAGCCTGCTGGTGAGACCTTGGCTCACAAAACAAAAACCCATGACCACCACCAACGACAAACTTTGTGAACTGTGGCGGTGGAACTGTGGCTGAAGCAGAATTGACTAGGAGAGGGGGACCCTACCTCAGGTGACCAAGATGAATTACAAGGCCAGTGGAGCTTTCTGAGAAAAGCAGAGCTTTGTGTTTTGATTTGGAGGACACATCAAGCTGCCTCATGTTAACACGGGATTACATCTGCAGAGCAAAAAAAAGTGAAGAGAAAGTCAGTCCAGATGCTGCAGCCTCTGGCTCTCTCCCCTTCTGCACAGTGGTCACAGGAACCCAAGAGTGTGACATGATAGTGGGTGGTATGACACAAAGTTCCTTAAAAATGCAAAAACCGTAACTCAGCAGTCATATGCTTGATGAGGCCGGTGAAGAAAGAACTGAATGTGTCTGAGTGTGTGGTCCAAGACATGCACTCTGAAATTCTGTTTATAAATTGCTACAAAAGCCCCCTACTATTAAAAAAAAAAGGGAGAGGTTAAATTATGCTGGGTTCATACGGTGGGATGGGATACTCTGCAGCTGTAGATTATTATATTATTATTATATTAATCATATTAATTATTATATTATATTATTATATTATTATTAATTATATTAATTATATTATATTAATTATATTATATTATATTATATTATATTATATTATATTATATTATATTATATTATATTATATTATATTATATTATACTCCAGGTAGATCATTATGTTGGATTTAGTAAAGTCAGCAGAAAGGCACCAGCCTGTGCCGGGTGAGGGCTTCACTGAAGGGCTTCTTGCAAGGCCCGAGTGGAGACGTTGAGGAAAGCCTCTACAGACGCCATTCATTGGAAGAACCAGAGTGCTTCCTACAAGGTGGCAATGGCCTCTTTTTGAATGGCCCCACTTCCACTTAACCGTTTCCTGTCTTGGATGAGGTTTTTGTCTGCCCTCCCTCCAAGAATGAAGTGGGAAGCAATAAAAGGAAACCACATGGGGGTGTCTTTGGCCATGGGGGAATAACCATTTAAACAGGAAAGTAAGGACTCAGACTCTCTGTGGCAACTGGATGCCAACTGAGAGAGCTTGGTTGTGTTCCCAGCTGAGAGCAGCCCTTTGCAGAGGGAGCGTGCAGGTCACTGGCAAGGGGATGCGGGTCACTTCCAGTTAGTTGGTTTCTGATTGTGCCGGTAGCTGCCCAGGAGCCTGGGTCCTCATGACAGCTAGCTCGGCCTGCTCTTACCTATCTATTGCCTGGCCTCTCCCTTGCAACATACCCAAACTGAGAAGCTGTTCACACCCGAGACCCTGCCATGGTTCTCCATTACCTGCCTACACAACAGAACCCCACACCTCATGTTGGGGCATGCCAACCTGCCATCGTCTGCTGATGCCACAGCAGCTCACTGGGCTACTCCTTGTGTGGGCAGGATGCCTTCTTACTAACCCAAACACGTCCTTTGCTCTTCTGTCTCCCATCTTGGCTCTCACCAGTGTCTGTGGAGAGAAAACCCCTCTGGTTTCTCTCTTGCTCAATGCTTGGTTCAAAGCTTACACATGTCCCAAGGTAGTTCTGCGCACCCCAGGCTCCAAATGAGCTGTCAGTTTCAAAGCATTCAAGATATTATTGCCATTGCTTTTGATCTTTAATAACATGCCTGTGATATCCTTCTAGATTCTCGCCGGAAAAGCACACTCTTGAAAGCAGGTAGGAGCTTTTGGTCT